TATGTATATAAAGTAGGACTTTTATAAGCTTTGCTTATAAAGACCTACTCAAAGGTTAAACAGTAGCCAATAACTTACTTGAGCAAAAGATCGAGGGTTGAACTCTTTTGCATTAGGATTAAGTGTTGATTTTCTAACTTGCCTAAACATAAAGAACAAAAAATCAAGTTGGGCATTATTCTTTCAGGAACATATCTGCAATTTCTAATTTAAGAAATACCTTATTTTCATCTGTGAGTCAGATTTCTGGGAACTCAAACACCACATGCCACGCAGAAAGCAACTCTTACTGACAGGACTCTTACTATACTTAGCCACAAAAGTTGCTACAGCTCACGTGAGCCAGGAATGTATTCAAATAAGCTTTTAGACAGCAATAAGCACCAACAGGACCAGAGATGTGCGAGCAGCTCTGCCATGAGATGACTCTCAGTGCAGACCCTTCACCTGCTGTTGTCTCTGGGCACCTCCACCAGCCACACACACAGTCACACACTCCCAACAGCTTTTTCCACGCGAGGCTTAACGTTAAGAATAATGTGCTTACTCTAAAAGGCAGAACTACTCACTCAGCAGTATCTTTCTTCTCCTCTTTATCCTCTTTATCTTGTTTGCTTCCAGGCCCAGATGTCTGTACACCTTGGGAAGTCACCTCAGGCCCTCGTTTTTGCTCAGAGCTATTACTTATGGAAGGAGAAATACTGGGACTATTGGGTTTGCTACTGCCACCATTGGAGTTAGTATTACTGCCAGGCTCTATGATAGATTCTTTAGGGGTGGATTCTGTCTTTTCTTTAACTACATCTCTTGACTTTTCCCCTTCTCGGGTTTTGTTTAGCAGCTGATCCACTGCATCTGAAGAAGAACTTGACTGTAACTGCAAAAAACCCAAGGAATATATTCAGTAAGTTGACATACAGAACTCTGGGGAGACAATCTAATGCTGACACATACACAGAGTAAAATACAGTCCCACGGGCCTCAATCAGCTGGAAATGACCTTTTAAAACATACATTTCCATTTCTACTAGAAAAGAAATCCATGAGCATTGACAATGTTGAAGCCTGCACTGTGCAAGAAGCTATTCAGTGACTCAGCTGACCCACGTGTTGATCAGGGAGTGACAGGAAAGCTTAGGACAACCCTCTGGACTCATCCCCTGTGTGATTTAACAGCAACACTTGAAAAGCTAACCTGATTGAATAAACCATTCTAACCAGGAAATAGGCAATATGAATTAATCTCCAATTTTCCTCAGCAAACCCCTTCATTTAATTTTGCAACAGCTCCTCCATATGGAGCCTGAGTGGGACAATTATTTGTGCCTGATGATCAACCAGGTTTCCAGTCCTGTTTTCAGTGCACAGTCAATATCCACATCATGTGTATTAGGCAACTGCAGTAGCAAGAAGTCAGCATTGATTTTCCAACACCTAGCAACAATTCTTACAGGTATTCTCATCAATTAAGCACAAGTATAAAGACCTGTTAACATATGCAGTGCATTCAATTCATTAGTGCAATCTATGCATGTGAGAGTTGATGCCATTAACAGAGAAACTTACCCTAAAGTCATTCTTAAATTTCTTTAAATCATCAATCTGTTTTCTATGCTCTGAAACAATTGGAGATACACCTGCCAAATATAAGACAACATTGGCCAAGCATTTCTCATACAAGTTGTACATATAACCCCCTAAATCTGCAGAGAGATAACGTTTGCATAGATAAAATTCAACAGAGAGATTAATTTCACTTTCAACGTGGCACAATTCCATGAGCTACGTGTACGAGCACACAAAACCTCCCTGAGAACCACAGCATTACATAACTGACACATCTTGGTTCCAATGCAGCACACCCAGGCAGAAGCCCTGAGGTGCAGGCACTGCAGAACTCACTGAACACAAAGCAAAACACCCAACAAAACCCCCAGTCAGCCTGTGCCAGTGTCTGAACACACAGCAAGTGACAGAGACACCGAGCAGGGCGAGCTGGAGGGCTGGGCTCCATCCTAAAGGGCTTTCCAGCCTGAACAGATCTGTGATTCTCAGGTCAGCGACATGGAGGATTTTTCATGAGAACTAAACGAACAAACAGTGCTGCAAAGAAAGCCAAATTTAAGGCAAAACAGGAAGAAACAGAGTTAGAAACACTATGCTGACCATGATGCTTACAAGTGTTGTTAGCACAGCTCCAAGCAGAAACACAATCAATCCAAAGACAGCTCAAAGCAGCTCTGTGAGCAGGGAAAGGAAGGAGAAAGCAAAACCCAAGCGAAATCACCATCCACATGAGCATCTCTACACTCTGCTGATGAAATGAGTCACACCATTTAAACTGCAGGGCTGCCACCTCACAGCTGCATGACCACACCAGATTCCCTCCAAGGCCTCCTCAAAATGCCAAGTGAAGCAGTGAGCACAGCAGGTTTGGTGTGCAGAATTCCCATATCACTCAAGTACACAGCAAAGTTTTTGATACAAACCTTTGTTTTCAGGTTTAGGAAAACTAGGAGAAGTCTCACTTGGCTTTATATTCTCCTTGTTTCCAGTTGCAGAGTTTTGCCTCTGGTCCTGAAGCCTAGTGTCTTTAGCTGGAAGAGAAATTGCCAAAGTTACTCAAACTGAGCAAAGAGAGAAATCAAGATAGAAATAAGAGAGAGATTAACCTTCTGAGTTACACATTTTCTGCTACCTAATTAGTGCCCGGAGGGTCAGCCTACCCTAATCTCTGTAAGCCAAATGCAAAAGTCCCAAACTCATCCCTCTCATCATACACAGAACCTTAACTAGGCTGAGCAAACACAAACTGAGGGCACATTATTTTCACTACTCCAAGCTCCTCACACAGAATGCTACGAAGATTTGAGAGCTCTTAGATATTTGACTGTGCTCTTGAATGTTGTGCTATCCCTCAGATTTTGGTTACTCTTTTGATGCTCTTTGAAACCAGTGGCCTACGTTTCTTTAACTTAGCGAAGAGGAAGGAGCTCAGTTTGAAAAGGGATTGATTGACTGAATACTGGCCCAGGTTGCCCAGGGAGGCTGTGCCTGCCCCAACCCTGGCAGTGTTCACAGCCAGGTTGGATGAGCCTTGAGCAACCTGCTCTGGTGGGAGGTGTCCCTGCCCAGGGCAGGGGCTGGGGCTGGGTGAGCTCTGAGCTCCATCCCAACCCCTGAACACACTAAGATACTCTAAGACACCTAGAAGCCCACACTCCTTAAAAGTAGAGGAAATTAAGCTCACAGATTTATCAAAAACCTTAGTTTAAAGCTGGCACCAGGAGAAAAGGGGAATTCACAGTAAAATTCAATGCATCACAACACAAG